GTGACGGGAAGAAGGAAGTTAAATTTGCCGGTAGGCTCCACATGAGAGTTTCTCTTGATGGTGGGTATCATGTTTTTGATGAATCAATTCACTATATCAGTGACTACAGGGCTTCAGCTAAGCTGTTATGGACACCTACAATTGGAGTCCTGGAATTGGGGATTCTAAACGCCAATGGATTGCTTCCGATGAAGTCGAGAGATGGGCGTGGAACAACAGACGCATATTGTGTGGCCAAATATGGGCATAAGTGGATTAGAACAAGAACAATTGTAGATAGTTTTGCTCCACAATGGAATGAGCAATACACTTGGGAAGTTTATGATCCTTATACAGTTATTACAATTGGAGTTTTTGACAACTGCCATCTACAAGGTGGGGGTAATCCTGCTACAACAAAGGACCCAAGAATTGGCAAGGTCAGGATTCGCTTGTCTACACTAGAAACTGACAGGATTTACACACATTCTTATCCACTAATTGTCTTACAACCAAATGGAGTGAAGAAGATGGGAGAAATTCAACTGGCTGTGAGATTTACTTGCTCATCAATGTTTGACATGCTTCAAGCATATATGCAGCCTTTGTTGCCCACAATGCATTATGTTCAGCCATTGTCTGTGTATCAGCTTGATAGTTTAAGGCACCAGGCGACTCACATTGTGTCTCTGCAACTGGCCAGAAACGAGCCGCCCTTGAGGAAAGAAGTTGTTGAGTACATGCTTGACGTGGGTTCCCATATGTGGAGCCTGAGAAGAGGCAGAACAAATTTTGAAAGACTCTTGACATTCTTCAAAGGAATTGTTGGGGCGTGGAAATGGTTTGATAAGATAAGAAAATGGAAAAGTCCTGTTGCAACAATTTTGACTCATGTCTTGTTCCTTCTTCTAGTATTTTTCCCTCATAGAGTGCTGCCTGTTGTGTTTCTATGGTGTTTCGTGGTTGGAATTGTAGGTTACCGGAGAAGGCCGAGGCATCCTCCACAGATCGATATCAAAATGTCTAATGCTGAGTCAGTGCAGGGTGATGAACTTGATGAAGAGTTTGATACATTTCCATCTTCTAAAAAAGGTGATGTTCTCAGAATGAGATACGATCGGTTAAGAGGCATTGCAGGGAGGATGATGACAGTTCTTGGAGACTTGGCAACGCAAGGGGAGCGAGTTCAGTCTCTGCTAAGCTGGCGTGATCCAAGAGCTACTTCAGTGTTCATTATCTTCAGCTTAGTTGCTTGTATTTTGCTTTCTCTCATCCCATTAAGAACTTTAATAATTGCTCATGGATTTTATGCAATGAGGCATCCAAGGTTGCGTATTGATATTCCTTCGATACCCAAAAACTTCTTCAGGAGATTGCCTACAAGAGCTGATAGCATGTTGTGACCAACCATGTCTGTCTTCTTCTCCTTCTTTCCTATTCTTGTTTTTCTTGTTTCATGAACTCTGAGTTACTGTTTTAACTTTCAAGCTATTCTTTTCTTCATTTCCATTTACATCAATCGTTACCTTACTTTTCTTCTTTACTTCATAATTGAATAATTTTATAAATTATAAAGTTATACATTTTGTTATTTGATATTTACACACTAATTGAAATATAATTTATTATTGAGAGTACATATAATATAATTTTTGAATTCAAATTTATATCTTTATAGAAAATTATAGAAATATCCATTTAAAAAGTCAGTTGGATTACTTTTAATCTTCAAAAACTCAAAATTTTCTTTTTGTGAAACTTGATTTGATTATGTTATAAAAATAGCCATTAATTTAGGATCTAATTATTGAAACAATCTCAACAATTGATTATTGATATAAAAGTTAATTAAGTCATTAATGGCATTTTATAACGTTTACTAATTACCAACATAATTTTGAATCTCGCAGAGATTTTGAGTAACTGTTTTTTTAGGATTTCAATTGGAATTATCAAATTTTATTAAACAAATATATATTTGATGTGATTACATATTTTTAATTAATTAAAATAGAAGTTATTGCATTAAATGTATGTAAATAAATGCTGCCTAAACATCGTTCGATTGCTTTGCTTAATCATAATGGTAAGATATTAACAGTTGTTGGAACTGCAACTTCTTTTCTTTTTTCTCTTTATTTTTTATTTTTTCATTTATATTACTAAACTCTATAAGCCTACTGTATAACTTCTCCATTTGAATTACTAAAAGTTAACAAATATATATATATATATATGCATATAAGGTAAAGTTACTTATATAGGATGTTCAATACATATTACATGCCAATTACTATAAATAATTTAAAAAATACTAATATAGTGAACATATGTTACATAAGTTTTTTTTTTTTTGGATACAAAGGAGAAAAAAGCCCAGAGATACAACTAAATAGTACATATTTTAAGCCAGAAGATTTCAGTAAAATCCTTCATAAGGATACTCAGAAGCTCAGTGGACGGATGCTGCAGATAGTAGGATTTGAAAGAAAAAATATAGGCCAGGTTGGCCAGGAAATCTGCACAATAATTCCCTTCGCGATAAACATGTTGGATCACGATGTACCAATCTTTCACCAGCCAAAACTGAATAGCCAATGCCAGGTGAGAATTCGCGTTGGTGGGGATCTGCTCCTTGTTGAAGGCACAATCCAGAAGCTGAACAGTAAGGGCATTATCAATTTCCAAGATCACATGACATGACCCTAAATTCCAAGCCAGCTCAAGACCATCCAATGCACCTCATAGTTTGACCTGGAGAATGGTGTAGGTGCCAATATTTATGATGCGGCCTCCAAGCCATTGACCATTACTATCCTGACCAATGACACTTGCACAAGTCGTACCAGTGCTACCCCGGAGAGCGCCATCAGTGTTGATCTTGATCCAATGGTAAAAAGGCAGGGTCTAGTTGATAAGTTTCTCCACTCTACCAATGCGATGGCCATATATGGTCATCTCAATGGCGAATGCCTGAAAGGTGTACTCTGTCAACCTGAAGATCTCGTGTCTCAGTTCCTCTAAACTGGAAGAGCTATCCCCAAACATGAGCACATTCCTTTATTTTTAAAGAAGCCAATAGGTAATGCCAAACACAATCTTCCAATCCTTGAAGGACGAGCACCAGTTGAACTTATTCTACATGTTGGCAGCAAACCAGGCATCAAAAGGAGCACTTAAAAAAGTAGGTGCACCAACTGAGGAATGATCTTGCTCCAAAGAATATGTGCCCCATGACAACCCCTCAATACATGGTTGAGGTCTTCAATATTAGTACCTCAAACCATGTAGCGAGGATCATTCACCATGTGTTGGCCAACCCGCTCCTCGTTCGTGAGGAGGCCCTTCTGTAAGACCATCCAAAGAAAATGACGAATGCATTGGGTGCCTAACCACTTCCACGCCATGTCCTACTTGTTATCTGCAAAAAGAGGAGAAATGTTAGTAAACATATGATAAGTAGATTTAACAAAAAATTTATTGTCAGACAAAAGGCTGGGATAAGGGGCATCGGCCCCCCAGTCATCCTGTGGGGGACTAACAGCAGCCAATTAAAGTAAAACATTGTGTGGGAGTAAATTATGCAAGAGATTCTAGTCCCATTGGCCAGTCGAGGTCACCAGATCCTTAACACATATGGAACCCTGTGTATCCGTGATAGGTTGAAAGGCGAGGAACTTCAGAGGGCTACAATTCATTAACCAATTATCACCCTAGAACCTTACAGTATTCCCATCTCCAATATGTCAGGCCAACCCATGGGTAAAATCATCCCAAGACCACTCAGTTTCCTCCAAATGCTGGAACATGTAGTCGATTTGGGGGGGGGGGGGGGGCATTGTAGGGATAGTCCCAATTATATTTATAACATAATTTGAACCCAAAAAAGGTGCAATTTGGTTAGGATAGAAAAGTCCACTTTAATGAGAAAAGCCTTGTTAAGCATTATGAGACTGGGGATGCCGCCTCCACCATGAGATATATCTCATACTAAGTAACCAAGCTGACCCTCTTCCCCTCTCTAGAAGAGGCCTATACAAATTCCCGCAATAGGCAATTAATTTGATCACAGAGCGAGTTGGGAAGGGCAGCGGTCTGCATAACATAGGCAGGAATAACCATGAGCATAGATTTGACGAGAGTGAGATGACTGACTATGGAGAGGTAGTTAGCTTTTCACTTGGAGAGCTTCGCCTGCACCTTCTCAAGGATATACCTATAGGTGTCCTTCATGATTCTACCATGGAGCAGGGGCACCCGAAGACACATACCCAAATCTACCGAGACCTGAAAACCAAACTCATTATTGATCTCAATTGTTTCGTTAGTCGCAACATTATGAGAGAAACAGATACGGGTCTTGGGAGTGCTGATCTTATGCTCGGAGCTCTTGTAGAACTCATCAAGCACCGTTTTGATGAGTTGAACCTGTCTAACTGAGGTACGATTAAAGAGAATCAAATCATCAGTGAAAAAAAGATGTGAACATTTAGGGCCCCTCTTGCTCAGGAAAATCGGAAGTGACGTACGACTAAAGAGAATCAAATCATCAGTGAAAAAAAGATGTGAACGTTTAGGGTCCCTCTTACTCAGGGAAATCGGAAGGCATACCTTACAATTAACCAACTAATCAATGTATTGAGAGAGGCACTCCATGCATAATATGAAGATGTAGGGAGACAGAGGGTCACCCTGATGAATGCCACGTGAGGATACAAATTCTTCAATGGCTCTCTATTCCACAACAACTGCATCAAACCCGAGCAAATGCACTGCATAATAACTCTGACGAGGGCCTGTGGGAAACCAACATTATAGAGGGTATCCTCAATAAAATCTCAACTGAGTCTATCGTAGACTTTCTCGAGGTCCACTTTGATCACCACTAACCAACCTTGCCAATTTTATGCCTCATAGAGTGAATGACCTCATAGGCCACAATAATATTGTCCAAGATACTCCAACCCTCCACAAAACTAGCCTGTGTGTCGTTGATGCGACTAGGCATGATGTTCTTGGGCCTATTGGCAATCAACTTGGTAATAATCTTGTAGGAGATATTAAGGAGACTAATAGAACGAAAGTCCTTGATGGAAGTGAGCCTAGCCAACTTTGGGATCAAAGTAATTAAAGTCCTATTAATACTCTTATCCAGATCAGCCCCCTGGAAAACCTTCATCACCATCTCATAAATCGAGCCCCTCACAACCACCTAGTGGTGTTGGAAAAAGACCGCATGAAGGTATCCGGTGCAGGGGCCTTGAGCGATTTCATGGCAAACAGGGCTAGACGAACCTCATCTTTTGTAACAAGGGCATTAAGCATATTCAGCATGGTCGTCATACAAGGCGAGAATCTACCCCTTATATGATAGATCGGAGCCTCTAACGTGTCTCTGGAGTAAAGTTTTTTGAAGAAACTCACAACCATGTGCTTGAGATGACCATCATCGGGTACCTAGTTCCGCTCAGCATCCTAAAACATAACAATTTATTACACCGACAGCGAGCCATTGTATATACGTGGAAGTATTTCATGTTCTTATCACCAAGTGAAATAAACTCACACTGTGATTTTTGTATCCAAAATAATTCTTCCCGCAACAACACTTCCTCAAGCTTTTTGTGTAGGTCGATTTCCAAATTGATGAGATACTCAAAGTATATTTGTTTTACTATCTTCTAGATGCCAGCGATACAGGTCAACAAATGCTTCTTCTTTATGAAAATATGGCCAAAGACGATGGTGTTCAAATCCTTGGCCTGTTTAGAGAAGTGCTTGAGGGTGGCCTGGAAAGAGTTATCTTTCTGCCAATTGTTATGGACGAACGTAGGGAAGTCGGGATGAGTAAGCCACGCTGCAAGAAATCGAAAAGGTTAGGGTTTCTAGCTTTGCGTGTGACTCACCCTAGTATTAATCAAGAATGGTCGATAATCCGACTAAAGTTTAGGCAGGTGTTGCACTAAAGGCTCGGGAAAGGTACTTAGCCATGCCATATTGGCAAGAGCCCTGTCGAGACGTTAGAGGAGAGTGCCTCTGCGCCAGGTGAAAGTAGGGCCTACATAGTTCACTTGAGAGAGGGTGTTGTGGCTAATAAACTGGAAAAAATACAAACACCCTTTACAATTTTTCTTAACCCCACCCCTCATGTCCGAACTATTCAAAATCACATTAAAGTAGCTGGTAAACAACCAAGGGCCATCAATAATTGTATAAGCTGGTTGAGAAAGCCCCATAAATGGCAGCGTTTTTGTCCTTGGGGGCTCTTCTAGACAACCACAAACAAAATCTTACGACAATCCTCATTCCGGTGGATCTTAGTGTGAATGAATTGACTATTAATAGCCAAGATATTGACTTGATAAGGGTCATTCCAGAGGAGCCAAATACCACTAGAAAACCC